ATTAAAATGGAAAAACTTACATGTGCCTTTTTGACTGCTGACTCAAAGTACTCATCCGAGAAAAATGCAATAGAACCACTGAACACAACTCTGGCATTGTTTCTAGCTTGTAGAGCTGCAATCAGGACAGTATCTTTACCAGACGCGTGGGGATACTGAAAAAGTGTATACTCATTGGAAAGATCTACATATTCTAAACAAAGTTAAATAATTATAGTTATGCTTTAAGAGCAAATCAAACTAAAAAGTAGAAAATAATTTTCTAGTACTGGTGAGTTTGTGTAACTGCGAAAGAAAGTAAGTAAGTATTTGGAATAAAATCAATATAAAAATTAAGATATTAACAAAAAAATCAATTAGATTAGAATATACAAAAGTCTGGTGTGTGCTTGATATTCAAAAAAGTTGCTACCTAGAAAATTGGAGTTATTATGAAGAATTGCTCTTTACACCTTTCTACTATGATTGAGTTTGTGGTTCATATCCTATTTTTTAGTCTCAAAACAACAACAAAAGTATACTAAGTGACATATAAATCCGAACACCCAGTTTAAATGATTTTATTTTAATAAAAGTTGGTGAATGTATTTATCTTACTGTAAATAACAAGTGAAAAAATTTTCAGCCTTATCAGTTGGACATTCCGGTTTTTATACTGCTTTTTTTTAATTCACTAACGCTCTAAAAATGAATATTTCAGCCGCAGTCAAGAATCAACGTTGGCGGATTTTGGTACTTGACATCCTTTACGATCGGTTACGATGCCTAGAGTACGGAGACCTGTACGATTTCGTCAACTTAGTGAGTTTGATAGGGGCCGTATAGTGGGACTTCAGGAAGCTGGACTTTCTTTTCGGGTAATTGCAGTTAGAGTGCAAAGAAGTGTAGACACTGTGGTTAGGTGTTGTCAAGCATGGCTTCGAGAAGGCCGTACGCAAAGAGCAAGGGGCACTGGACGCCGCCGTAGAACAACAGACCGTGAAGATCGCCGCCTAAGATTATTGGCCTTAAGGGACCGTTTCTCCACTACCAGGTGCATTGCAATTGAATGGTTTGCAGAACACGGAAGACCTATTGGCATGCGAAGTGTTTACCGACGAATGAGAAGTTTTGGCTTGTTTTCATACCGGCCACACTGGGTACTCCCTTTAACTTGAGAACACCGACGTAATCGCCTTGAGTGGTGCAGACAACGGTCACTCTGGGATCAGGAATGGAACAGTATTCTCTTTAGTGACGAGTCTCGATTTTGTTTAGGCATGTACGATGGTCGTGCCAGGGTTAGAAGGCGACGTGGTGAAAGGAGGAATCCACAGTTTTTTGTTGAAAGACATGTTCATCACACTGTTGGGGTTATGGTTTGGGGTGCTATAGCTTATGATTCCAGGTCACCTTTAATCTTCATCAGAGGTAACATGAACGCGCAGCGTTATATCCACGAAGTTCTAGAACCCCATCTTTTACCCTATCTTGACACCCTGGCAGATCCAACTTTCCAACAAGATAATGCCCGACCACATGTTGCAAGAGTCACAATCGACTTCTTTCAACATAATGATGTCACATTGTTACCATGGCCACCAAGATCTCGCGACTTATCCCCAATTGAGCACGTGTGGGATATGATTGGTAGGAGATTGCTCAATTTGCAACGTCCTCCTCAGACTCTAGAAGCACTTCGAGAGGAGTTGGTGGTTGCCTGGAATGAGATACCACAGGAGGACATCGACCACCTGATCAGAAGCATGCCTAGACGCGTTGGAGAATGCGTAGCACATCAGGGTGCATCCACACATTATTAAAGGTCAAAGGGCTTTAAAGCAGTGCAATCATTTTGAAATTTTTATCATTTACTTATTATGCTTCATTAAGTACTTATACAAAATTTTATTAAAATAAAACCATTTAAACTGGGTGTTCGGATTTATATCTCACTTAGAATACTTATAATCAAGAGCTTCAATTTTTGGAATATTTTATATTTGACAATAATACCCTGGTTTGTGAAATAATTGTAAAGTTTTATTGCTGCGAGTTGTTCAATAGGGTATTCAAAACATGGACGCATAAAATGGGTAACAATTTTTGTGGGAAAACTTTTAATTCAACAACAAAGAATGAGAAAACGTGTTTTTTGGGATTCAATCGAAAGTGTAATAGCAAAAAAGTTATAGCCGAAAACCACGGAAAACTGCAGGGTTTGGCACTTGTTCGTAATACCACGATGTTTTGATATTTAAAAAAAAATTCTTTAAATTTGTACTTCTAAATAATCACAACAAAATTGGAGTAGATTGGTTAAGTAGTTTTTGAGAATTTCTCAACACTTTCGATTGAATTCAAAAAAACACGTTTTCTCATTCTTTGTTGTCAAATAAAAAGTTTTCCCACAAAAATTGGTGTATTTTATGCAACGATGTTTTAAATACCTGCTTGAACTACTCGGCAATAAATCCAGACTTTACAATCATTTCAGGAAAATTTGCTAATATGATTAGACTATAAATTTACATAGGGTTGTCGTTCAGCAAGCTCTTCATTTTAAGGGATAACTAACAAACGATTACAAAAAAAAAAAGAAGACTCAAGACTCAAAATTTCTCCCACAAATGTGAGGTTTTTAAACGAACCTATAAAAAATGCAATTTTGAAGATCAATATAATATATAAGATTTAATTTACAGAGATGAATTATTATTCTGAATTTCAAGCATCTGTACAACTTCAAATATATGGTTCTATCGAATAAATATAATGGCAAAAAAGCAGATGACTTACTTCCTTGATGGGTTGATCAGGATTGTAGCTATAAGCAGTGCTGTCAGCTGTCAGAAGTGGCAGAACCAATGGATTTTCGGCATCGGCCAAGATACCGGTGCCTTGATAGAGCAGCGGTGCTGTGTTCTTCTTGGTACCTACGATAACCGGAGCATCTATGAGCAAATCTGATGGTATCACTAATTTGGTGTGTTGCCCCTGGTCCGTTACATCATAGTTCAGGTGATCTATTACATAGGTTCCCTCTTCATCTACCTGAAAGTTTAATTCTTTGAGTAACAAAAAATTGCAAGATCTTATCGAAATAGATGTATGTTTCAACTGGTGTAATGTAAAATCTATATAAAAAAAGTAATCGTTTCTTACCTCAAAGCCGCATTCAGAGGCCAGTTCCCTCAAAACATCTCCTGTGACACTGCTTCCAGCTATCAGGACGTTACCTCCATCGTCTATGAACTGTGTGATGGTCTCAACATTCAACATACCACCGAATTCTTCCACGGCTGGCGCAAAGATGATCAGGTGCTTGTAAAGGTGCTCGCCATACTTCGACAGCACCAACGAAGCATCGTCTGCTATTTTGAATGTTAACGTGTAGCCTCTTTCTGCGGAAACATTGAAAAATGATGGCAAAGCCGGCTATAACCTTAGTGTTCTCTTACCTTGCAAAGACTTGAAAAATATCGAATGGGTTTCTCTTATGACTTGATTGTCGAGTAGGACTAACGTAGGGCCTTGGGCTAATGTTGCTGAAAATATGGATATCAGTAAAAATAAGACTAAAATCATTTTGAAAAGCTTTATGAAGGCTCTTAACACTACAATCAAAATTTTGACACGTCGACGTCAGTTCGTCAGTATATTCTGTTCGCTGTCAAAAATAATAGGCGCGGTTACCGCCATCTTGAAGGCGTGGCTTTGCTTGAGAGGCCGTTGACCACGCCTTTTTTTCAACTGTACAAAACTTTCATATCTTCAAGTTCTATGAAGTGATGCCGTCTAGCATCTGAAAATTTGGGTGAATTACTGGTTGCCTAAGGTTTCTAATCAAATTAGTAATATTTTCCGCGGTTTTTTCAAGTTGATAGGTGGGTATAGGTCGATGAATGAAACAAATAATAAATTATGTAGGGATATATGATTTATTTGCAGTACACAAAGAAAATCGTAGTGTTAAACCTATATACACGATGTACAGTATAGGTACATATAGAATATAGTTGTTTTGTTTTTAAAATTTTAAATGATAACAGGTCAATAGAAAGGCCATATCATATGATCACAGACAAAAGAACAACATGATTAGTTTCACATTTATTCTTTTGGATTGGAAAATAGGTTGTAGATTAATATAAGTACTTTTCAATCTTTCTACATTTTATATTGATGGATTGATGAATTTTTTATTACTTATGTTGGACAGTTTTCATTTGAAGAACGCCTAGGTAACATCAAGATGTGGTCAAGTTTTTTAAATTACTGAAAAACTTCGATACACAATCGATTTTTTGACATATCTATTTCCTTGATATGTTTCTACATTCTGTTTTGTTGGACCCATTCTACCTTTTCTACTAAAAGTAAAATGATATATACGAACAGTTACAAGATCTTAATTACCGACCTTCAATTGTATAGGTATTTGAAAAAGGGAGTTATCATCCTACTTATATAAAATATCATAATATAATTGACTATATAAGAAATATGTATAACATATTCTAAAGGTTGGACAGCCATATTTACACTTTGCTGTCTCTGTTAAGATATTTGGAAATGTAAAAAAATCTATACAGATGAAGTATGAGTTTTTAGTGAGAAATTTACACTAACACAAATTGTTACGGATAAACATATTTTGAATACTGAATAAAACGGTATGTTTTTCAAAAGATTAGATGAAAATATGATGATGATGTGGTCGAAATCAATATATTTATTTACAGTATACCCTCAAAATTTGTGCATATTTATTGAAAATATTTGCTAAATCGTTTACATGTATTTCCTAATGCATTTTTAGCTACATATACTTAAGAAAGAAGAAATACCAGTCAAATGTAAAGCCCTATAGCTGTTGAAGTACTTTCTTTTATTATGTAATATTACAGTTTTAGCACAAACTTATTTCAGTTAGAAGTTATCACCATGATGATTGTAAGCAAAAAATTTCTTTGATGTAGATTACAATATTTTCATTCGTAAAAAGTAAATTTCTGTGTTCAAGTGTCGATATATATGACAGTCAGGCAATTGTAAAATTCGTATCTAACAAAAATTCTGCTTCCAATCACATCTGGGTCCATAAGAGATATCTAATGAATACTAAGAAGATAGATAAAGCTTTTCATTATTACTGAAAATGGTAGGGATAATTTTTACACGTAAGTATTGGACCTTTGGTAACCCTTACATTAATAGTTAAAGCTATACGTTAGATCAAGTTAGTATATTCTTTGTGCAAGTATTTTGGAAAATAATATCGTCCAATCAATTTGTTTCTCTCACTTTCTTTTATAAATTCTATATATTTAAAGCTCTTGGTTACTCCATTGTTTGGTCCCAACTAGATAAAAAAATCTTGTTTGACCTTCGATTTCGTCAATTACGGATATGTTCAAGTAATGGATATTTCGGAAAACACTTGCACCTATACAGGTTAGTTAAAGGACATTTTTGGTAAATGGTAGTAAAATATTTTCTACGTTAGCTATACGGTAAAGCTGAAGAACTTTGATGAGCAAAAAATTGCGATTCCGTAATAATTCGTATCGCGTCTGAAGTTTTCTAAAAACTCCTGGATGAGTAATGGGAATCTTCCAAATTTGCGGACATTTCTCTACACCTGGCAACATTGTTCGGAAACCTGGAGCCATGCTATCACTATTCGTTTTTCAAATATAGTCGAAATCACGAAAGATGACGATTACGTCATCAATTTAGTCTGTAGTAAAGACAAACGACAGCGATTTGTGAATATTTTTATAATCAAAATCACGAAAGATGACTAATACGTCATACCATAAATTGTACTGAAGTAATCAATGGACGTACGTCGATGATAAAATCACGATATCGGGAACATAATGACAACAAATATATATTATGATTTTGCGAAGTTAGGTTATTTCACTGATCATTTTTATTTTCATTTTATTTCATAGTTTTGAGGGATACCTTAAAAATAAGTTTAGTGGGGAGTTTTTGTTTCGACAAAAACAGTTATGAGTAGAATACCTTAAGACAGGAACACCAAAGACCAAAGTGTTACTCGAAAACAACCTAACCTGCTTTAACATAACCTAACTATTCATCTTTCAGATATGATCGATCATGGAACATGAAAACATCGTCTATCTTTGTCGGATACATGCAAATTAGCAATACAGTTTGTGTAGAAAATAGAATTCTGTTTGTCTCTGTTTAACATATCTGAAACTTCATTAAAAATATTCACTAATCGCTGTCGTTTGTCTTTACCAGAGACTAAAATGATGACGTAATCGTCATCTTTTGTGACTTCGACTATAATGAAGTTTCAGATATGTTAGACAGAGACAAACAGAATTTTATTGTCTAAACAAACTGTATTGCTAAATTTGCATGTATCCGTCAAAGATAGACGATGTTTTCATGATGCATGACCGATCATATTTGAAAGATGGATAGTTAGGTTATGTTAAAGCAGGTTAGGTTGTTTTCGAATAATACTTTGGTCTTTGGTGGTCCTGTCTTAAGGTACTCTACTCGTAACCGGTTTTTTTCAAAAATAAAACTCCCCTCTAAAAATATTATTAAGCATCCACTCAAAACCATGAAATAAAATGAAAATAGTCAGTGAAATAACTTAACTTCGTGATTTTATCATCGACGTACGTCCATTGATTACTTTAGTACAATTTATGGCATGACGTAACAGTCATCTTTATCGAGATATGAGTACTCTTGAAAGAATTTTATTGGGTGGTATGTTGGAAGATTCTGGGCACAACGATCTGGATCTAGGTCAAGGATGAAAAATATGATTTTGAACGTCACAATTTCGTGATATAAACCTTCAATTACACGATTTTGCATTTAGAAATTGTTTCTTGTACAATCTTTTGCTCACCAGTTCATTTTTCTACAAGTTCTACTTCTACATTATTTCGCGCGTTCTTCTTCCTACTTACACAGATAATACTCGCACTTGGCACCGAAAAGTTTTCTCACTACTTCTCAAGCTTTCTGTCCTTTTTTTATTGCTCCAAGTAAAAGTTATAATCACTGCAATCGAGGCAAGATAGTTACATCACAACAATCACATATAAACCTTTGATAATACACAAGCTGACGCATTTGAGATATACCATATTTTTTCGAAGATAAGCCGTTTAAAACTATTCCGATCCAACTCAAACTTAAATATTGCAGTACGAAAGAGCTCTGTTTTTAAACAGACACCTGGAACAGCCCGAAGTACTTCGATGTTGTCCATGACTTCAATACCTGGTGTGACATCGGCGTTATTCTTACCTCATTAAAATCTTCAACCTTTTTCTACTTCGTCTGGAGGCAAGTGCTCCGAAATAAACACCCGGGGAAGCCCCAGCGGATTCACCTCCTCGGAGATGGTGTCCACCACTTCAACGGAACATCTACGTCATTCTTGCTTCATTAGCGTTTCTACACTTGCGATGATCCTTTTTAAACCTTTTCTTCATCTTATTGAGGTGAAGGACCTCAATTTAACGCTAGACGCAGCGTTAAGCGTGTCACCCCCTAGGGGATGCTGTCCACTGTCCACCATCGGTGTCACACTTGCTTAATCAACCTGTTTATCTTTACGATCTCTCTGGACGTATTTTTGGTTCATTGCGGCCAGCTGGGACAGTCCCAGGTGCTTCACATCCTCGGGGATGTTGTCCACTACTTCAATACTTGATGGAATATCTTCATTATTCTTGCCTCATTAACATTTCAAACTCAGCGATCTATCTCTCTCTCTCTCTAACCTCTTTTTCATCTTATGGAGGCGGAGGCCCAGAAATTGTCACCTGGGGCAGCCCTAGGTATTTCTCCTCCTCGGGGATGTTGTCCACCATCTGCGTTACACTTGCTTGATCAATGCTTTAATTCCTTCATTCCTTGGAGGCGACGCTCCAGAAATTGACACTTTGGGCAGCCTTGAATGTTTCACCTCCTCGGGGATGTTGTCCACCATCTGCGTTATTCTTGCTTAATCAACATTTTCATGTCGACGGCCTATCTCGACCTCTGGGTCAGCTCCAGGTGCTTCGCCTCCCCGTAGATGTTGTCCACCACTTCAATCCCAGGTGGAACATCTGCGTCATTCTTGCCTCATCAACGTTTCCGTCTCCGAGATTTCCCTGTCCAGCTCTTTTTCTTCATCTTCCGGAGGCGACGGTCCCGAAATTGACAGCTGCGGCAGCCCGAAGTGTTTCTCCTCCAAGGAGATGTTGTCCACGCTGCGCGCTTTGCGACACAGCCTGGAGACGCTGCCGTGCCTGCGGAAGAACTCCCTGGTGTCCAGGCCTGGACCGCTGTTGGACACGAAAATGGCCGAGTTGATTCTCGGGCGCATCTTCCGAGGCGGTACCGCGTGGATCTGAGGACAGAAAATAATTTTACAAACGTTTTATTTACCTAAAACTTTGTTTTTGTTTAGCTATGCTTTGAAACGATCGCAAACAGAAAGACGCACTTTGTTTAAATAATACTCATCCAAAATTGTATTCTATACTAAATTACGAATTGTACTTTTAATTTCTTCGGATATTCGTATATACATAGGTGAAAAATTAAAGCTTCCGCCTTTTGTTGGGTACTTCGACAAAATTTAAGCAAAGAGGACTCTTTATACTTTTTTAATTCTCTCTAGCTTTCAATGGACATTGGCATCATCATCATCAGGAGCTGCAATTACAATGATAACAGTAGCAACAAAAGTGTAAAATGAATTTAAATTGAATCAACTTACAGTAGTATGTGAGGATGTTGCTAATTGTTGTTTTCGTATAGGATGAGGGAAACGTCCAGTAACATGGTGAGAGCTGGATACATGGTACAATGGTTAAAATTATATAAAATATGACAAGACAAGTTAAAGACAGATCAAAAATTATTTAGAAAACATTAGAGCATTACGTCGTGAAGCCACTTGATGATTGCACAAAATGGTGGTCATGGAATAATGAGTGAGATGAACCTTTGACAGAAGGCCGAAGGTTGTCAATGTCTGTGTTGAAAGATGGAACGAATTGTGGGCGTGTGCCAAAACGTTGCCAAATCACTTCAGATGATGTGATTTTCAGAATGTTATGTAAGAAATTGTTAAACCGCCCACAATTCGTTCCATCTTTCAACACAGACATTGACAACCTTCGGCCTTCTGTCAAATGTTCATCTCTCATTATTCCATGACCACCATTTTGTGAAATCATCAAGTGGCTTCACGACGTAATGCTCTAATGTTTTCTAAATAATTTTTAATCTGTCTTTAACTTGTCTTGTCATATTTTATATAATTTTAACCATTGTACCATGTATCCAGCTCTCACCATGTTACTGGACGTTTCCCTCATCCTATACGAAAGCAACAATTAGCAACATCCTCACATACTACTGTAAGTTGATTCAATTTAAATTCATTTTACACTTTTGTTGCTACTGATATCATTGTAATTGCAGCTCCTGATGATGATGGCAAAGTCCATTGAAAGCTAGAGAGAATTAAAAAAATATAAAGAGTCCTCTTTGCTTAAATTTTGTCGAAGTACCCAACAAAAGGCGGAAGCTTTAATTTTTCACCTAACTGGTTTAGACGACAATGACCACGTCTCAAGTTATATATATATATATATATATTTATAGGAACTTTTTTTTGTTATCTTTGGATGTACTTTCTACCTAAGAAATATTGTCACGTCTTTCTGAAACACCCTGTCTAGGTGTTAAAAGTGTATTTTTTCACGTTGGCCACGTTTAGGCGTTTTTTCCGCCTTGTTCAGGGTTATCGAATCAGATACACCTACACGTTCCGTCCATCCCCGGAAAAACTTTGATTTGCGAAACTTTCTAATCACCATTTCCTTAATGTTAAACTTTGTCCCTATTCAATCAATTTCGCACTATCCAATGCCATGTCCAAAATTGCAGAATCTAGAATCTATTTATCTATAGTCAAAATCACGAAAGATGACTATTACGTCATACCATACATTCAGTGGACGTACGTCGATGATAAAATCACGAGTCAGAATCATAATGACAACAAATTTATATTATGATTTTGCTAAGTTAGGTTATTTCACTGATTATTTTTATTTTCAATTTATTTTATGGTTTTGAGTGATACCTTAATAATAATTTTAGTGAGGAGCTTTTGTTTTGAAAAAAAAAAATAGTTATGAGTAGAATACTCTAAGATAGGAACACCAAAGACAAAAGTATTATTCGAAAACAACCTAACCTGCTTCAACATAACCTAACTATTCATCTTTCAAATATGATCGATCATGCAACATGAAAACATCGTCTACCCTTGTCGGATACATGCAAATTAGCAATAGACAATAAAATTCTGTTTGTCTCTGTCTAACATATCAGAAACTTCATTAAATATATTCACAAATCGCTGTCGTTTGTCTTTACTACAGACTAAAATGATGACGTAATCGTCATCTTTCGTGATTTCGACTGTATCTCTTAGCACTACGCCTACCATCTTCGCCTAAATTTGTATTTAAACTGTTCCTACGATAAATAATTTAGTCAGATGAAAATAACATCCGACTGATTCGCCAACAAAAGCTGTCAATAACACACTTCTGACAACTTTTTCGATAAGCCCTGCTGTCGACGCATTGTTTTTCCAAGGTCCGCCCATTGGAAATTCGCGGAACTTGTATACAATTAATTATGGTCTGTATACACTTTGATCTTATTTTTTACAGGAGGGTTTTAATGAGATGCCCTACAAAAGAGTAAATGAGGAGGAAGCTGCACGAAAGGGAAATTAATAATCTGAGTGAAACGAATATTAGTTAATTTTTGGTATGCTTATTTTTGTGCTGTAAAAGTAATGGAGAAAGATTCGTACGTCACGAGTGCCTTTAGACGGCACGTTTTTTTTTTAATTGACTACTAAGAGTGTGTAATCCCAATTTTCAGCTAAAGAATACAAATAGGTTTCAGTAATATTATTAACACGAACGTAGTTTCATGAGCAAACTGGAAAAGATGTCAAAAATCTGTTTCCGTGGCAACCTTAATATATCACTAGTGCATACTTTGAGATTGTTTTAACATATACAGGGTGTATGTATAAAAACTACAGCAAATTACTATATACGGCTATATACAGGGTTATTCCTTAATATTAATATATACAAGGGATGATACAACAACGAGGAATAACATACTTGGATTAACTTCGGTATGATCCATACAAATACATTTATTGTTTGTATCCATAATATTCCAGCAAAAAAACACTTCGAAGCTTTTTTGGAACAACGGCTCAAAGCTTCACGTTTTGTGGAATATTATTTCGTCTTCAGAACAGTTTCACGAACCCAATAGTTCTGAAACGCACCTTTAATCATTTGTTGTAAAAGCTGTAAAAATGTGTTGTAAAAATCGTGTTGCAAAAACGACATAATACAAATAGCGGAGGTGTACGAAAGTGTGAAGCAGTGCCTAGAAGCTCGATATTTGTGATGATCTACACTGAAAACACATTCACATTTCACAAATAAATAATCGATATATTTTACAGTATTCGAAGGATATTGAGCCTGTTCGTCTTGAGAGGGTCGTTTAAATATATTCAGTATGTTACCTACCTAATCTCTGTTTACATACTTGTTCGACAAAACGCCATTTATTATCAGGATCGATCACTGCGAGAGCGTATGGCAACTGTAGAAATCTCAGTTGGCGTTTAATAGCCCTCAATTTACAATTGTGACCGCTAGAAGCTGACGATTCTGGAATTATAGTAGATGTGATCTGCTTAACATGCTGCTTACTTCGTCCGACCATACACAGTCAACCACGGACAGTGTTTCGTGCTTTTTGGTAACACATCAGCAATGCCTAGGCTTTGTCTCTAGGACGACGTACGTAATCGAACTGACGAAAGCAGTATAATTGTTCGACGAATGTTCACGCCTGACAAAATTTAAGATCATTTTGCTCTTCGTTTTCAAGGATAGGTAGCCTGGTATTTGTTTTAAGTGAAAGTAAAGGAGACTTGAATAGAGTATATGTATAAAGGGAAACTGCACACCAATATGGCAACATCCCAGTTCTGATATTGGCTTTGAATTTAACCTAACCTTTTTACCCGATTGCCACAGAAGGAGGGATATGTTTCTCTCGGGTGGGTATCTGGACCAAAAACACTATTTTTTGGACAGGGCCGTATTCCATAAAAGTGTGGTGCAATTTACATGTATCTTGTACGAATACGAGATATTGTGTTCCATGTAAGTTTCAAACACAATACCTACACTAGAACTGTTCAGTATTTTACAAGTTACAAGGTATCATATTCCCAAGAAGCATGTTTATGTTTCGTAAAAGTACAAGTGGTAGTACTGTTACTGTTATTTCAAAATCATTTGCTACAAGTGATTCCCCTTTGGTAGAAAAGGATATGACAAGCTTCTTGGTACAAACAAGGGTTAGATGATGGTAACAGCATTTATGGAGGGGATCAAACGATTTTTGATGTAGATTTTTTCAGAGTACAAATTTTAGTATAGAACTTGAATCTAAGAATAATAACATAGGGGACTCAAGATACCAATCAAGATCAGCATCATCAAATACGACAAACACTTCATAAATTCAGCATAGACTATGCAGTTTTCAATATTTTTTTTTGACTTTTACAATTCTTTTTAATAAAACACAATAGATTTATTCCAAAATAATAATGTTATATACTAAGTGACATATAAATCCGAACACCCAGTTTAAATGGTTTTATTTAAATAAAAGTTGGTGAATGTATTCATCTTACTGTAAATAACAAGTGAAAAAATTTTCAGGCTTATCAGTTGGACATTCCGGTTTTTATACTGCTTTTTTTTAATTCACTAACGCTCTAAAAATGAATATTTCAGCCGCAGTAAAGAATCAACGTTGGCGGATTTTGGTTCTTGACATCCTTTACGATCGGTTACGATGCCTAGAGGACGGAGACCTGTACGATTTCGTCAACTTAGTGAGTTTGATAGGGGCCGTATAGTGGGACTTCGGGAAGCTGGACTTTCTTTTCGGGCAATTGCAGTTAGAGTGCAAAGAAGTGTAGACACTGTGGTTAGGTGTTGTCAGGCATGGCTTCGAGAAGGCCGTACGCAAAGAGCAAGGGGCACTGGACGCCGCCGTAGAACAACAGACCGTGAAGATTGCCGCCTAAGATTATTGGCCTTAAGGGACCGTTTCTCCACTACCAGGTCCATTGCAAATGAATGGTTTGCAGAACACGGAAGACCTATTGGCATGCGAAGTGTTTACCGACGAATGAGAAGTTTTGGCTTGTTTTTGAGATGTCTTCATAGCACTATAAACTAT